CGCAACCCCGTCCTTGTCCACAGCATCACGATCTCGCGATCTTCTTGAGCTGGAGGACAGATTGCTAGCAATATCATCCCGAATCTTGTCGTTGAGGTCGGCAGAATCACGATCGCGTGGCTTTTTGGAGTCCGAGGACATGCTGCTGGAGATCTCGTCCCTGTCTCTGCCCTTGGGAGAATCCCGGTCCTTGGACTTTCTTGAGCTTGAAGAAATATTGCTAGATGTTTCAAATCGGTCGATATCCTCCTCCCTCGGAGAATCGCGGTCGCGCGATCTCTTCGAACTTGTTGAGATATGACTCGAGGTTTCGTCGGCATCCTTGTCTTTTCCAGAGTCGGAAAGAGCAGAAGCGGCAGCGGCCGCGCCGGTGCCAGCAATGGCCGAGGCAAGAATGCCCCAACCGCTCTTCTTACCAGACTTTGACTTTGGTTTCTCAGCTGGCACCACAACACGAGCGCCCGAGTATTCATCATTGCCACGCTCTGGGCTTTCTACCACGTAGCGCCTAGTCTCGTTTTCGCCCCATGTGACGCCCTTAGACGTGGGAGTTGATGGAGTTGAACTGACTTCACTTCGAGTGTTGTAAACCACATCGTCGGTCGACCTGTATTGTTCGACCAAAGGCGGGTTCTTCTTCTTTTTCTTCTTTGACTCTCTCTTTGACTCCCTCTCTTCCGAAGCCTCTTCGCGCAATTCTTCCCGAGTCTGCTGTTGCTCAGGCTGTGGCGTTGGGACTGGCGTAGGACGAACAATATTGAGCATAGGTCGATCCCGCTCCGCAGAAGGGTCACGGGACTTGAAAGGGCGACCACTGTGACGGAGGGGCAGATCCTCTGGACTCAGAATACGATCGATGCGGACATCGGCATCAGGTCCATCATAGGGGCTCCTTGGTTTGGGTACATCTTTGGCTGGAGGGGTGGTAATCTCGGGTTTTGTAGAGCCTGACTCGGACGCCCACTTGTCAACAATAGATTGGTCCGGAGAGGCACTACGCGAGCGATCTTCTGCGGCCTGCCTTGCCAACATATCTCGTCGATACAGGATATTGGCAACGTCTTGTACGACATCCTTGTGATCCTCTCGGACGCGAGATGATTCATCGCCTCCGCGGCTTGTACTGCGACCACGGCGATGCTCCATGCCAATGGCGGCAGTGGCAGCGGCTATAGCACCAGCAGCGATGGGAGCGGTGGCAGTTCTGGTACTGTCATAAATTGCCTCGGCATCTCTGAGCTCCCGCTCATACGAATCCTTGCGGCTGAGTCTCTCCATGGGTCTGTCGTAGTCATCACCCAAACCGGAGAAGTTGGGTTCTCGTGAGACGGTGAAAACATTGGGTGTAAGTGGACGTTGTGGTGTTGCGAAAGCATCGTTTGCGACCTGGAACTGGAAGGGATCAATGGGACCGCGAGCGGATGGGTCATTGAGATCCTCGATCCTGCGATAGGTGTCGGCATCGGACGAGCGGCTCGCGAGTGACTTCTCTTTGCGGCGTTCCAGTTCCTCTTGGCGTTCCATTTCTTCAAGACGCTGCTTTTCCTCGCGGCGTTCTTGTTCCCTCTTTCGGTCTTCTCTTCGATCAAGGCCTCGATACTCTCGACCATATAAAATCCCGTAATCACGATCTACGATGGGATTTGAAAAATCGCGGGGGGGTTCTGGGGCAACATCCGCGGTTTGCTTCAGTGCTCCTCGCTCCAGTTCCTTGAGTCTCTCTTTCTCACGGCGTCTCTCAGCACGCTCAAGATCCCGGTCATCATCACGGCTTTTACGCTTCTCGTCGCGTTCATTTGTAGACTTGTCGTCAGAGCGCCTAGAACGACGCTTCTCGTCGCGATCGTCGCCAATCTGCGAGTCGGTATACTTGGATCCAGCATACTTATCACCAGAACGCTTAGATCGACGTTTCTCATCTCGCTCATCACCATGCCGTGATTCGCTGTAGATTGACTCTGCATATTTCGGATCAGAGCGCTTCGAGCGGCGTTTTTCATCACGCTCACGATCGCGTTCCTTCTCCGACTCACGTTCGCGGCGGCTGTCACGGTCATCTCGGCGATCGTCCTTGTCTTTGCGGTCGGAAAGAACACTGGCAATCGCAGCGCCGGCGAGACCTGCAGCGGCTGCACCAGCCAAAGCTGTGCCTGATGATGATGACTTCCGGGAATATCTGGCGTCGGTTTCCGTGGTGTCGTACACCTTGCTCGAGACAGGCACGATCGGCTGCGGCTGCTGGATCGGTACAGGAGCGGGCCTGTCACGGGAATCCCTCTCAAGTGAAACTATCGAGCCTCGACTGGTCTTGTAAACGTTAGGGTCTGAAGTGGGCACAGGATACACATTCTGCAGCGGGCGACCTTCGAACAGGACAGTCTCGCTCTGGGAGACGGAGGCACTACCGTCGGCGGGCAGTGGGCGTTGGTGACCCTCAGTGACAGTCCTCCGGTCCACCTTGTCAAACCCGCAAGGAGTGTTTACGTGGCCGCGCAAAGAGTTGACTGGACCGAATAGTTTGGGGTCTACAATCGACGGCTTGTGCTGCAGCATCTTCTCGTACTCGCCCGGGCGGCTGGAAGGCGGTGGACTTGATATATGAATAGGCTGATGGCCGCCAGTAGGAAGATGGACAGCGGATCCATATACCAGGCCGTCGTCATCACTGCTTGACTCATCCTCTGAAGCGGACTCCCATTCCGATTCGTCTGAAGAATCATGGCGGCTGTGCTTCGAGCTGCCCAGACCCCTGTCTGAGCGACCGGAACCGCTGGTCTTTTTGTAGGCGCTCAAAGCTGCTGCAGCACCCAACAGAGCGGATGGCTTATGCCGGCCGGCACGTCGCTGATCCTCCTTGTTTTGCTGCCTGGCGATCTCGGCAAACTTGCGACCCAGCTCGATGATCTCCTCATCCGTTTGCGCGCGTTTTGGCAAAGCTGGCCTGGTTCCCGAGTCGCTTCCCTCCCGGCGCCTGTTGGGTCCAGGCGGCGTGAAGTCACGGTTCCTCATTCTGTCGATATAGCCTTTTCCATATGCCATATCTGAGAGATCCGACGAAGAGGAGCCATTGCTAAAGCGAAACATGCGGCGGGAGCGCTGCTTGCGCAGGCGCCTCTTGCGCCTCTCCGAGGCGGCAGTGAAGAAGGTCTTGAGGCCAAAAGGCCGGTCATGTCGAGAGATGTTGAGCAGACTGCTCGACGTTGATGAGCTTGAGGAATTGGAAGAACTCGAGCGAGCGCGCGATTGGCCGTAGTGGGACTGCGAAGGAGGCGGCTGCGGGTGCGCATAGTAGGAGGAGCGTTGCGCCGCTGATTGCGAATCATAATAATCATGGCTGCTCGGTTCTTGTCGCATGGTGTTGGCATGGTATCGATCGGGCTCTGGCATATGCTGCATGTGGCTCAAGACCTGCTCTCTGGAACTCCGGCGCTCCTTGCGCCGGCGTCGCTCGCTCTCGGGGCTGCGGCGACGGTGATGCCCATGTTGGTCCCGGGTCATCATCTTAACAACAACTGCCTAAATTACAATTCTCTATATTCGGTCCATTCGGCAAACGGCGCAGATGGATTATGCTGTTACGACGGCGTGGTTGGGTATATTTGTTCTTCTGAAAGTGTTCGTTTGTAAATTTTCGTGTGTGAATTGACTTGGTATAGTCAGACCAGGCTTTGGCAGAGCTGTCTGACTTGAATCAACTGGAAGGTTTCCGTTGACAAACCAAGTGATGTAGGTACAGAAGGTATTTCCAATGTTTTGTTTTGGGCAGAGACGGCGGGAACTACCGTGGCGTAGGTAAGTGATAAATTGGCGCTGAATCACAGGCAAGATAGAGTAGTGGTACTCCACTTTGCGGGCTCCTACTACTGCTGACTACCCGGTCGGCAAGGTATAAGCGCCCTAGGACTGAGATCTCTGGTTCGATTTGTTTTTTATATGGTGGCTGGGATGGATAGCTCAGCTGCTCAGCTCCTCATTGTTCCTCTTCCCCATCCGAGCTTGGGGGAGTTGGGGAGGGACTCGGGCCAACTTGGATCGCTCGGGTGGGGTCGCATCATTGGAGATCTCGCTGGTAGTCAGATCGCCACGTCAGTCTACACACTACCTGTACATTTACATAAATGTGCCAGTGCCGGCAACTGCTTGAATGCAACTACACCAACATTGTTCATGTACCTAATCTAAGCTGCAGCTGATGAGGCAAACAATACCGAAGGAAAGAAAAATTTTGAAGGCATCCACCATGGACAAGATTCATTGAATCATGGCTACGTCAAAACCCATCGGTCTATGGCAAATTGACAATGCGCTTCTGTCCATGCCATTGGTGTTTTAATGCGTGGTTGGGCAACGTTGGCCATCATCTCAATACCTGTATAGGCCATGTTGAAAACATCAAACGTACCAGCCTTTTTTTTTTCCCAACTATTATTGGTGTTTCTGTGTTTCTACGACTCTATTTGGTTAGCTTCCTCACTAAATGTTCCGTTACCGTCAAGCCGTCTTTTCGATTAGTTCTTTCACATCGGCTCTCCGTGGGGACTTATATAGTAATGTGTGCAAGTTGGAAGCGGGTTTTGAGAACCTCACAAAGTACAATATCACACACATTTGACACGCCTAGCAAAACACAGACTTTGTAAATCAATGCCCCGTTTTCCCTCCAATATCAGAACTCCGCATCTACCAGTCTACGTCAATATATACACATCAGTACAGTACATATACACATGAATCATCGAACGCCAGCCCGCGCGTCTCTTGGTCGCAAGCCCCAATGAAAGAAAATGATTCCAGCCATTTTAAATGCTTCTAAGCTCAGAATGAAAACAACGCGAACCCGGCGGCAGCGTGCCTCCCGGGTACATGCAAGATGGGGTATAAAGTGAGGGTGCGAGATTCTGCCTCGGTGCGAGATGGTACAGGGGACGCCAGACTTCTAGCAAGGCAAGCCACGGCGCAATAGGAGTCAAGCTCCTCTGAAATGCCACCATGGACAAGCCTTACAGCTTGACCTTGCGGCCGGTGAGCTTGAACCAGATCACCGCCACAAAGTCCTCCTTGAAGAGCTCCCAAGGGTTGCGGTTGAGGTAATAGCTCAACTCGCGGAAGTTGTACATTTCGCCCCAGCAGTCTCGACCCCATTCACATCCCGCCATGTTGACGACAAAGTCCCGGTCTTTCTGGTCGTAGTGAATGCGTTCATCCTTGCCATTGTCGGAACAAGCACCGTCCGGGAAGCTGTTGATCATCCTCTGGGGGATGAAAGCCGTGTGTTTTCGCACCCACGGCTGCGTCTTGTACAACTGTTCCAGGGCATCTTGCTCCTTGTGCTCCCACTCCATGTGCTTCTGTTCATACATGACAGGGTCCCACCAAATGTCCAGTAGTCGATCGGTCCAGTCACTGCGTCTGACAAAGAAGGATCCCAGGTTGAATCCAGAGCAATCCTGGGGGAGGATCAGGTTCACAGAGTCTGCATTGCCGTCTCCCTCAACGTTTTGAGATTCTTGGTCGAGATAGTTGGCCTTGAGAGGGTGGGTAATGTTCAGCGGGTTGTACTCGTTGATATCGCGGTAGATGTTATTTTCGAGGTCGTTGAAGATATGGCTCTGCAGAGAATAGGTCGGTTCCATCACAAAGGTGTTCAAGTCCAGCCACCAGATCCTATGCATGTTAATGTGGTCGTTCCATACGGATGCCGAGGGGGACACCTGTCTACTCACCACTCGGCTTTGGGGTATTTGCGAAAGCTGTTCCTGATGGCATCAACCTTTTCCCAGCTCTCGCGCCATTCGTGGGCGTAGCGCTTCTTTGTGCTCATGTCCACAATCTCGAGATCGTAGCCCCAGTTCGATACGTATTTTCGCTTGTTCCTTACGCTGTCTCGCTCAATGGCCCACTCTCTGGCGCCTTTCCACTCCATGACACCACCGCCAATGTTGGCAGCCAGAATGATGACAAATTTCTGACCACCACCCAACCATGTCGCTCTTCTCCAGTGATACCAGAGCGCTAGCAAGCTGTTAGCAACCAAGAGGCATACCTCTGTAGCATGTATTATAGACTTACGCGTGATCCAGAAGAGCATATAGCATAGGAGCAGTATGCCAAGGATCATAAGCCTGCCCTTGGTCTTCCTGCTCATGCGTGTCATCATCTTTCGTAACCTGCCAACCAGTGGAATGTTCCATCTGCTTCGGGCCATCTTGTCTTTCTCTACGTATCGGTCGTCGTGTTTCGTGAAGGTGGGCAGACTGCTAGAGAGCTGGCGCATGTGTCGCGTAAAGAAGCCCTGGTTCTGTGTCGAGAATGATGGATATCCGCTTACGCCCTGGCTCTTAAGTCTGGCGGACTCCCAGGTCACATTGTGGCCATTTCCAAGTGTGCCTCTGGCAGGACTCGATCGACCGCTGGTGTTGATATCCAAGCCAGGCGAGGACCAGCCTCCTCCGGGAACAGGCGAAGGGCTCCTACTTAAGGACATGGCAAGGTTTGGTGTACCTGTGAGGAAAGAAAGCAGTGTCAATGGCTGTCCAGGGGCGCGAGCTTTCTTTTCCGGGGAGCTTCGGCAGCGACGTACCAGGGATTGGAGATAGAGGTCCTTTGGGGCTCAAGTGCTGGGTTCCGCTGCGTGGAGGGGCCAATGAGGGAGGCGCGCCAGTAGAAGACCGTCTCCGGTGATGGGAGAATCCGCGAGGGGCCGTGAAGGCTGACGACTTCGAAGAGTCGGGATTTGAGGATTGTGAAGCCAGCTTTACTACTGGCTATGCGGGCGCAATTCGAAGACAACTTCGGCCGGACGCGAAGCTCTCAACGAATGGCACGCAGGACGGAGAAGGAAAAAAAAGGACAAGGTGGAAGGGGTGGCTCAGGCTCGGCGGACGCAACTCTGATGGCGGAGACAAAAGGCGAAATGTCTTAGAACTCGGCAATGCAGTCAGAGGGCATCGAGCGATGATGTGTCGGTTCGTCGCGCGGGCCGTTTGCTGTGGGTTGGACAAAGTATTACCTTGTGCAAATTGTGTCGCGAAGCAAAACGTCGTTTGTCTGTCCTGGCTTTGCTGGACTGGCGCGCGCGCTGGCCAAGGAGTTGCCCTTTCTTTCAGAAAGTGTCCTCTGGTGGAGTCCGTCGAGTAGTTCACCAAGTTGCTTTGGGATGGGCTAAGATTGGGGGCGCCCCGCCAATAGTGCTCCTTGCTCGTATTGGATCTGCACGGTTACTGCTATCTGACCAGGATGACCATTCTTGTCAGCAAAAGTAAAGTCTCGGGTGGAAACACCACGCTGGCCACTTGTTATAGTCGGGTCGGGTTAGATAGACTGTGACTACAAAGTATACGAGGTTCAACTTGCTTGTCCCCAATGTTTGTCAAGCAGATAGCCGTTGAAAGCAATGACATTTGGCTAGATCACCTGTCACGAGATTTTGTCCTACTGTAAGGTAGGTAGATACGTAGTGTACAGGGCCTGGAACCCCTAAAATACAACACTACCACCTGGGTACCTGACCTACCTGGCCGCTGAATATTCCGTATGTCACCAAAGCAACCAGATAAGATGTCCCCACACCCAAAGGGTGACAGCCGACCACTGCATTGAAATTCAAGGATGATGCCACGAGTACCTACATTACCTAGCGAACGCATTTCTGCCGGTCAAATGTGGATGGAATACATCCATATATTCGAGGCGGTTGCCGAGTATACGTGTCTATGTAGGTCATGTCCTTCCTGTCTCAAGCTCATCTACAAATCTACCTCAATGTTGAGGCGTTCCCAGCCATCGCGGCAATTGATCATATCTATATTTACAATAGTGCAGTGCATATGAAATCCCGTGTAGGCTGTCAAGGTTTTTCGCACAACCATGTCCGGCAATACGATATGCACCGCTACACACCCAAATACCATCGAGCACAACGGGATTGGCATTTGAATTCCCCGACCAGCGGCCGCTCCGCCGCGCCAGGAATGGAGAAAAAGCATCGACTGTAGATCAAAAGTTGACGCGCTCGACACGGCCCGTCCTGATCGCCCGATAGGCAAGGTCATGTTTATCCTACCTATCACTTGGATTAATTCCCAGAGTGTTTTCTTTCCCCTTCGCTCACGATAGGTACCGCACATGAGTTGAATGCCCAGGGCTTGGCAGGGATGCTCAATACGCCGTGTGTCAAATTATCCTTGTGTCAACCCCCTGTGCGCGGCTGCAAATGCAATCTAATTAAGGTCTCTAGCAACGTACACTAAGGTACACTCTGTAGTGTCGAGCTGCTGGAAGCCGCCGAAAAGAGCCAGGTTCTTGGATAAGGGGTCCAGACCAATGTGGGGGTCCAACTCGACAACCACATTGCTTTCACCTACCTATCTAGGTCACTTGCTATGGCTGCGCGGGTCGTTATATTCTGAAGAAGCAAATCACCAAGAAAAGAAACATAAGAGACTGATAGATTATGTGCGTATCTTGCGATAAGACTGCATTTGACGAGACTCATGACGACTATGTCCAAACTCTAATACAGATTGTCATTTACCTAGTTTATTCCAGTCAGATAGATGTACGGTCCTGACGCTTCCGCGCCTCCCAAACTGTACCTGGAGCAATTTCAATGTAAAGTACCTTGGGTAACGTAAGCAAGCATTCATGTAGGGTGGCTTCCAACATTGAAGGCTACCTACCTACCTACACACATCTTCTCCTAGACTTTCTCACCGATTGTGCATTCACGCGGTCGACGCCAGGCAACTTGACCGTTTGTACCTACCGTACAACATTGCCTTTGCAACGGTCGCAATTCCCTTTCCCTAACAGGCCAACTGAGTTACAGTCCAAGCACACATCAGAAAAGGCTTCACCAAATGCTGTCGTGATGTTGTGTTTTGGCGATACTGCTTGATCTCGACACTTGACAATGCAGTAGACACTAGATACGTACCATCCCGAAATATCTTGGCTGATCTCGTTTCTCATCCTTGTCCTGTCCTAGAGGCAATTACCATCATCGCTGCTCAAGAGTTCTTGGAGCCTTCTAGTCTGAAAGTCTTTTGCTTGGGATGCCCGCTGCAAAATGCCCGTCGAAACCTTGTGTTGGCCAACTTGATTTGGCAAGATGGATAGTCGTTTGCATCGGACTTCCGAAGAGATCCATTCATTCTGGATAGCCATGATGATAATTCATCGACACATTATGGGTGTTGCTGTCCAAGATGTGTATCTCTCAAAAGCACAACAAGATATATATAGTCCCCATGGAATTGGTTGCAATCACTGTCTAATTAGCATGGTTACCATTTGGAACATCAAATAAGGATGAGAAGCAGTCTGTAAACTAACATTCGGTTGGTGAGTATGCGCATATGGGTTCATCATTCGAAACTATAATCTATGACCAGGATTCAAGTTTCTAACAATTTTTCTTCAAAGGTCAATAGTCCCTTTTTGTATTCTTGGTCTACTTTCCTTTCCTCTCCCTTTGTCTCATTGGCTCTCGCGCCTCGCGACATTTTTTACCCGACTCTTCTAATACATCCCTTCGGGCTAATCAGCAGTAGTCTAATCAATTGCACATGTTTGTGCAAGGGCTGCACTGTAGATGAGGATCTAGAAAGAGAAATATTCCACCAAAGAATGGGAAGAAAGTGCAGCCTGTACAAGTCAAATGCATAGTTATCCAATTACATTGATAAGTGATAGGGAAGAACGTTCTGTTGATCTTATTGAACAAGGAGCAGGCGAGATCGTTGTCAAAACAATTGATTCCAAACATATCACGGAAACGGCGACTTGAATGACATTCGTCATTAATTGTAAACATGAGTTTCCAAAGTACTGGGGCCTTGCAGAAGAATGACTAGACAAAACATCAACAACAAGAGCCCAGATCATCAAATACCCATTTACATCCACCCGTATCTAAATAACATTCTTCCATTGCACAGTCTTACCACAATGCCTTCTTGGGGTCGAGGATTGTTCCAGTCCACTCATGACTTTCTGATTGTACAATGGTTCTGCCTATGGTCTGGCTTCAACATGCTTACTTCCGACCTCCATGGACGGTTTATTGTCGCTTCAAAGCTCAATAACGGTGTTCTCGCGCGCTTGGTCGGCGAGTTCAAGCATCAGCCTTTGGAGGGCTTGAAGGAGTACATCAAGAAATACGGTGACCAGACCGCTCAACTGTTTCTGAAATGGACAGACGAAGGCATCAGGGGTTATGCAATCGTCCACATCATTCTTCTTGGGATGTGCATGGGGGTTCGCTTGTTGCTAACGGTGGAAGTGAAGCGTGAATATCAACACTTATCTCGGCACCTGATAAACATATTCCAGCAGCTTCAATAGTCTGAAGCGCTGGTTCACTATGAAAATAACGGTACTCCCTGGATTCTGGGCAGCAAGAATCAACAAGACACCATGCTAGCCAGGTCGCGCCCGGGTGAACCCTCCCAATTCCCATCCGATCTAGGTGACGAGTTCTGGTTCAGTGGTCTTAGGTAAGGTAACCATGGGCTAGAGGCTCGCCAATTTGAGATCTTTTAGCATTTGCTAACTTTAAAAATATAGGCATTCCGCGCGCCAGCTACCATACCCAGTGACACATAGCAGACGTTGCCACTATTGCCTTAACCGACTAAGGCAATCCTCAAATCTCACAGGTCCCCCACCTTCATGCCCAATCTGCAGAATGGCCCGATATTGTAGCTGGACCTGCAAACTTTTGGACGACACAGAGCACAAAAAAGTATGCCATGGTGACACACGGCCCTATGTTGTGAGTTATTGTAATCCCCGCCACATTCTGCTGAAAATTGCTGACCTCAAAAGGTCGTTCCTGAATAGCATGAGCTTGAGCCCACCATAGTGTCGCCCACACCAACCGTGACTGCTATCAGCAGTGAGATTGAATTCGAAGAAACGATCCCTGTCAAATCCAGTAGTACCAAAATGAACAAGAATCAAATCCTAGGTCCTGAATTTTTCAAGTAGGTGGAATTTCGAGGGCGTGCTATCTTGTCACGTTCAGCAGTGCATGTCGCATTGCACGCAGAGAGCGCTTGCGCCACTATAGCCCATCACAACTTGGCCAGCGTTGGTTTTGTTTCCAATGTACACTTTGGAAGTATAGACGAGAAGAGTAATATAGCTGATCAGCGCTGCTAGTCTAGAAGTTGATGCTCTACATGCACAAATGAGAGGCGTATCATTGATGTCGCATTGACTGCTACACCTTAATCGGCAGGTAAAGTAAGAGCCATGCGTCCTCCAACTCCAAATGAGTCTATTTCCACCACCATTCCATTTCAGTCGGAGCCCATTGACTCTTGAGCTTTTCGCGTGCCTACCTACATTACCTACCCTACCTTGGTATACTTCTCAGTGTCTTGGCAGCCGGGAGTAGACTTTGATCTAGGTTTCGCGGCAACCATATGAAGGTAGGTAGTGGCTTGTCGGGTTTGGACAATATTATGAGTGTTGATACTGTAGAACTGAGGACGATTCCAAGTTAGACAGTGCCTGGCAGCCTCAGGGGGTGCTCTCCTTTTTCTGATTATGCTTCTCATAAAAGTCGATTGATGATGGCGAGTGGCGGTATGCTCAGAGAAAGGCTTGAAAGGACGCATGGACGCACAAATTGAAGACGCTGGGATGGTTTCGTTTGATGTTTCAAGCAGCGCTCAGATCTGCCAATCCAAAGAGCCTCAACAGGCCCTCGGCTTGCAGGTGCATCAGTCTTGATTGGCGGGGAGCATACAACTTGTGCTGTGGGAGGAGCGGGTCGGGCAGGGGTCGCTAAGGGGATCTGAATCCGTGGACCTATAGACTGACCCAGCGCCCTATGCCAAGGCGGCAGCTGCCAGAAACATCCCCACTATTTCCCTCCCCCCAGGTTTGAGAACAAGACGAAACAAGGCAGCGATTGGCCAGCAGCATCTCGGGCGTGCCCAAGTGCACATGCTACATGCCCACGAGCACCAAACCGAAAATAGTCGCCCTCGTTTAAACTTTTCTTTGATGTGTTTGACGCCGCCGAACCGCTGTCGACATGTCGCTTTTGAGGCATCTCGAATATTCTGCTGAGCCGCCCGCCCATTCACACCCGATCGTACCAGATTCCCATGAGTCTTAATTCGTTTAAACTACTACTGCTGCTGCGTGTAATTGCATGCACTGGACACAGGACAACAAGAACGACTTGGCAAGTGGGTATTGTACATTATGCAGGCAAAGTAAAAATGCATCTGATAGGTAAGATCTTGGGTCGCTTGCAAGGACAAAGAAAAAAGACGCTTGGGTGCTTGCTTGATACTCCACCATCCGTGAGCCCAAAGAAGAGCACTTGAGGTCTGGACGTCTGGCCCTCCCAAGAAAGCACCATCCAAATGCCCTGATTGGTGCCTCCGTTTCGTCTCATGTGTCGCCTCTTGATCAGATTGCTGCCAGGATGTCTGTTCCGATCCATGGACGCGTGGTCCACCCAAGGAGGAGCTCGCGTGGAGAGACGGGCGGGTTCGAGCAAAACCTAGTCACGACTCACTGGTGGATTGTATAGATATCTCTTCATGGTCGGTCAGCACTTGGCTGTCAATTCCATTTTCTTACACTCACTTTCGGTCTGGGATTCAACTGGTCAGGGCAGGACACGCAAGCTCACACGCTGCATATCAGCCACTGTTCTGCACCTTCACTGTGAGGCTTACGGTTATATTTTATCCTTCTTGACATCGGACTTCACCACTCTCGTCGCTGCTTCACTCAAAAAAAAGGAAGCCTCAGTCTCTTGGTGGCCCGTCACTCCTTAAGCGGCTTCTATTTAGAGTCTGGTTGAGTCCCCGTCCTCGTGACCCTACGAACAACCCAACCCCCGAGCTGGCATCTCGTTCCTTCATTGTTTCTTCAAAAGCCGCCTTTCACCGGCTGTCAATGCCATTGTTCCCGTTTGGCATCTAAAGAAAAATCGCCCAGGTGGCTGGTCTTTGGAAGACTCAATTCTTTTCTTCTTCTCTCCCTCTTCTCATTCTTCTTCGTCCCCATTGTTCCGATTTGATCATCGTCATGGGCATGCATTATTAAAAATTCTGCATCGGCACTTTACATTTCACACACTGGTTGTTGTTCATTGCCTCCTTCTCTTTCTCTTCTCGTACATAAATTTTTTGCGACTCAGTCAATAAACACTGGAAATCACCTTGACGGCGACTTCCCTGAACACTCAGAAAAACAAAGAAAGCAAGCCTTCTTCCCTGCCATTGCGCCTTTTCAACAGCTTCGGCATTGGTTCAAACACCATATCAGACAACATCAATCTCATAGCAAAATCCACCGACATGGTCAACATGCGGTCACTATTGCGCCTCGGCGCAATCGCTTCCCTCGCCGCAACTTCTCTGGCAACGTACACCATCCAGGACACGTACGACACCAGCAGCTTCTTCGACGGCTTTGATTTCTACAGCAACGCGGATCCCACCAATGGCTTCGTCAAGTACCACACTGCTTCCCAGGCCAACTCATCCTCCCTGGCTGGCTATGCCAATGGCGGCATCTACCTCGGATCGGACCACAAGACAGTGAACCCCAAGTCTCCCGGCCGTGGCTCTACACGCATCAACTCCAAGAAGACCTACACGCAGGGCCTCTTCATTGCCGACATTGCCCACATGCCGACCTCTTCCAAGAAGGGCTGCGGACTCTGGCCGGCCTTCTGGATGTTTGGCGAGGAGGGTGGCTGGCCGAACTCGGGCGAGATTGATGTTATTGAAGGAGTTAACTCTGCCGACTCGACCACCATGACGCTTCACACCTCCTCGGGCTGCACCGTTTCCCAAGGAAACTGCAATGCCGGTAACGGCAGCACAGGCTGTTCTCAGGCGGTCAACGACACGGAGAGCTTTGGAGCTGGTTTCAATTCCATTGGAGGTGGTGTTTACGCTGTCGAGTGGACCAGTGACGCCATTTCAATCTGGTTCTTCCCACGCTCCTCGATCCCGTCCAACATTGGATCTGGTAAGCCTGACCCGACCTCTTGGAGCACTGCGACCGCCACCTTTTCTGGTTCTGGTTGCGACATCGACAGCCATTTCAAGGAGCACACCATTGTCTTCAACATTGACTTTTGTGGCGACTGGGCCGGCGATGTCTGGGCCGAGGATGCGACCTGCTCCGCCCTGGCAGATACTTGTCAAGACTACGTGTCCGCCAATCCGGGTGACTTTAAGGAAGCATACTGGCTCATCAACTCCGTCAAGGTGTACTCGGACGGCTCGTCGAGCAAGCGCGATCTTGTTCCCCGACCTTTCATGGCTTGAGCCACTGCTGTGGCAATTCGTTAGGAAATGAGCGAAGGGGCACGATTGGAATCATGAGTTTGGAACCAGTCTTTCGGGTGAAAGACATAAGGAAAATACCCACGGATCAAACGACAAAGACAGGCGTTTAGGATATGATTTGAAAATTTCTTGGAAGATTCCTTAACCTCTGAGCGTTGCGGGCAACTGGCAAGTTTTGGCCACCCCCCAAAAAAGACAGTGCTTAGATATATGCATCACGTCACATAGGGAACTTCTTCTGTACATACTTCAGGACTTCACTTCTTCTTGGCAAGCCGGTCCGGCTAAGCCACCATTACTTTTCAACTTCACTTTCAGGGGGTCAAGGGGTTCGACTCTTCATAGGGACAAATCAAGAATAAAGAACAAAGACAACTAAAATTTCTTCTTGTTATGGTGGCTGTGATTGATCGTTATAGTTATGAATGACTAAATGACCTGGTGCTCGCATGGGCCGTTGCTCACGCACAAATACGCAAGCCACGATATTTGTCGTTGGCAATGCAAAACTGTATGGCGGAATCAAGAAGATACATCATAGCCGGCCGAGTACTACTGAGTCAGTAAACAGCCTGTCTTGAGGCGGACCGCCGTGGAGCTGACCGGGTCTCATCCCGTCCTGGTCGCTCGGCCGTTGACCCGGCCCAAGCTCCGCAGGCAAGGTAGAAACGACATAAAAATAGACGACTTCCCTCAATATTTGTATGGTCTAGCATCCAGAATGCCTTGGGTTTGGGCAAACTCCATTGTCCAGAGTGATATTTCTCAAAAACTATTGAGGTTTTGGTCGCTAACCGCCTCTCTCTCTCTCTCGCTCTATCCCCATCTTGGCAAGGCTGACTTATCTGAACGCTGGCGCTTCATGATTATGATTGCTGGTCCTGCTGCTAATAAGCCTTGCAAAGACGAGCGGAAAACCGTTTTGTCTGGCAAGTAGTCTGTCGGACAGACTTGGTTGGAGGCACAAGATAAGTGGTTTCTGTGGGCCTCCAGTGTTGCTTGTGATTGTCTGTGAACCAAGAGCAAGCAATGCCTTCCCCCCAGCGTGCCGATGACTCAACGCCGCTTTTCGGATCGAAAGTTCCTTTCTGTTCTGGATCTAATATCAACACATGCTGAAAGGACCTGAACGCATTGAAAATGTGTCTTGTCGAATAAGATGGTAGACACTGGGATCTTTCAGGTGACCCAGACGTATGGTAGCCAGTCACATCATGCATCCAGAGTGTATTTACCTTTTGCAGCTGGTCCATCGAGCTGACGGACGTGCCGAAGCACTCCGGACGTCCAATGACTGGCTCGGATTGGAGATTGAGACTTGATAAACCTATAGTGAAGTCATGCCGAACCTGGCAATCTTGCATGGGCATGGACGGGGAATAGTCAGGACTTTTTGATCAAGGCCCAGGAGCAGGGACAAGATATTATCTGCAGCCGGGGAAGCAAGGCAGCAATCCAATCATATGTTGATATGGCCAAATCTCAACGCGGCACCCCTTATCCGTGCCTACGGGGGACAGCGGGCTTGGCTTTCTAGAAATTCCATTTGTTTCATGGGCATCCCAGGGTGATGTGACAGGGCTAAGATGGAACATTAGGCACCATGATCCGGCGAGGATGGAAATAGGCGTGCGTGGCAGCAAGAGTGTATGGACGCGCCAAGTCGACGTGCTCGAAAAAGGTTCCCTCATGATGACGCCCCCAACCGGAGTCCGGTCCCTTTAGTTGATCATGATATCAAGTCTTGCAGGGGACGTGGACTGCGTGGTGGTTGTTTGCTTCTTTGCTGCCTCCCAGTCCTCCGGGTTCGCTTATTGTTCCTGCAAAAGCGTTCGAGGCGGTGCTGGCCCGTGATCTTGAAATAGCACCGATGATGCAGATACTTCTTGCGGCAGTCAGAAAATCCCCACCGACTTGAGCCTGGTGGAATGTGAATGCGCAATGTTTGGGGCAATGCCTTCGCGGTGTACAATGTTTGTCTGATTGCCTGCTTGCCGGAGGGAGCTCCAGATTGCATCAGTGCGAGCTTCCCAGAGTGATGCTAGTGACATAGCAAAGTTGAGATATCGCTTCGTCATCATGTCCATGCGCAGACAAATTCTTGCCGTTCCGGCATGTGTCGCAATCTAGTGATAGGAGTGACCGATGATGGGCGACCTCCGTGACAGATTCTGGAAGTCATCAAAGTCGCGCTTGTGAGAGACTGTAAATGTGTAAAGTGTGAGAATGTAGGAGAGAGCCTTGCCAAGGTTGCACGAGGTCGCTAGAATGGGCCGGCCACGGGCATCCGGGTCGCGTTGGAGGCGGCCTAGTTTGGGGCTCAGTGGCCTGAAAAGGCGGCCATGTTCCCACGCAACCGCGTCCTGGCTGGTTGAGATGGAGACGCTGGTCGCATCAAAGGCCCCTATGGCCCTTTATATGCTTGTTCAACAGACCAAAACACCCTAGGACCCCAGGGAGGGCTCCAGCTCTACAAGGCAGAACCGATCAAAGCCCTGGAGGGGCCGGGGGTCATGTCAAGACGGTACCTAATGTAGAGGGAAGGAAGTTGGCTCCCTTTCTCAGTGGAAATGCAGTGCAAGTGCAGCGCAGTGCAGTGCACAAGCATGCGGTTGCTGCCCGCGTCTAATCCCTCCCTGGCGGCTGTTACAGGGGGCATCGCCGCTTACTGACCAATGTGCTTGTGTCCCTTCCGGGGCTGAGAGGGGGGGCCCCAACTTTGCGAACTCAAGGTACGCTAAAATTGCTACGCATGTCGACATACTCCCTCGTCATCTGCAACTCCAAGGACAAAACCTATACACACCACCTGACTGGGTCGATCTGTTCATTTCTTCTGCGAGACACTCATATCAGATTCTGAACAGTGGTCTCGTCTCTGGATAATGCAGGCACATACCTCACCGTGTCTAGGTACTTTGAGGTAAGTACTTGGAGGCCCACCGATATAGCAATCGGGGGCTGAGCAGATTGGGGATCATGTCGATGCAGCCATGCGAATGGTTGGATTCCAAGCACACCTCATGTCCTTCTTGACCAGTTGGGTCCAGTGCCAAATGCTCATATCGTTCGTCCATCAATACTACGATGCTGTTAGTGGAGTTTGCAAGTTGGCCTAGCTAACTACCTCACTTGTTCTGCCTGCTGCTAACTGCATACTGACTTGCCGTTCCTCTTCCCTCTTCCTCCTTCGTCCTTCGTTGTGACTCCTGCCGGCATGTCACCGGGGTCGTATCCAGACTTTCACCCCAACAGGAATAAAAACTCCCAGGGCCAAGGCCAACGTGGACCCAGTGGCCTCGATTCCTGGCCGCCTCCATCCCATTGTCGGTAACTATATCGAATTCTCCTTCTTTGGCTATTTCCATATACTGTCATCTTATATAACATCTTGCTCCTTCCACATTGGCGCCATGAGAGATCCTTCGCGCTTATGTTACGCATCTCTTACCTCGCCTTGATTCTCTCATGTCTCCTTCGCCAACTGAGAAACTCAGCCAGCTTTCCATTGAGAGCATGCCTCCCACCACTCGACAGCAGAGCCGCAGCCAAAAGGGTCAGTCCAGTACAGAGTCTGAAGACAACTCGGTTGATTCACAGCAGGCAGATAACTGTTTGCGCTTCCCGTCCAAGCTCACTTACAGCTTGGAGGAACTGCCCCCCAACACGCGGCAGCACGTCACTGATGCCATTGAGGGTCTCCCCCAGATCGTCCTCCAAGAGTGTGCGGCAAGGGAAGGGCATGTGATATTTCAAGTCTCTGAGCTTGCAAACTTCAGGATCCGGACGGGCTCGAGGTCGAGCCAGTGGTCGACTCCGAGCTGTAGCTGCGGAGACGAGTCTCCCAGTCGAACTCCTTGTCGTCACGTGCTCTGGTTGTTCGATCAGATAACATCCCAGCTTCTTGACAATCGTGGCGAGGTGCTCATGTTGAATCAACATGGTTACGCCGACGCCCTCAAGAATCCCTACGATATGATCACCGAATGTCATCTTGACATATTGGCTGATGATCTACACAGCCGAGTCTTGGAAACAGCCTCGGATTCCGAGGACGCTTTATACAACCCTCGACGCGTTCAGGAGGTTCGGGAGATCCTAGCTTCTCTCAATCGCACCCCTATAGACGAGTATCGTCCAGACATATTTGATCATCCTACTGGAGGGAGAAGGGTGGTCAAACGCAATGATCTGGAATGTACCATATTCCGGATGCTGTGTCAGAACAACGAGTTCTTTCAGTACTTCTTATCCTCAATGAAGAGCGATGAACTCGTGAACAACACTTTTCGAAAGCTCCAGAAGAGGGCGGATGCGGCACTAGCTGGTCTGGATGCCTACGCAGAGTCATCCTCCTCGGAAAGGTCATCGGGCAATCCAAAAGACGTGGCATGGTGTGGAATGCACCTACAAGCCGTTGTAAAGAAAGTCCACACAGCCATACTGCGTGCCCGTCGCCCACTGGAACTTTGGGAGCGCCAGGCTGCTGGTCGTACACTATTACATATATTGCGAGAGGTCGTCGATCGGTGTCCTGAACTCACATCCCCGAACCAAGAGAAAGTCGACCGGAACCTCTATTTTAAATTAATCGGTGACCGAGATCGCAACTTCGCCATTGCTGCGTTGAACTCACTCCCACCCGACGCCATTCACCCATTCACGGCGGAACTGGACAGGATCATTTTTGACATGGGAAAACATGGCGTCCCCCACTCTTACGCCGAAAAGCTAAGAGACATCTATGAGCGAGCTCGCCGAGTTCGCCTGGGCGGATCTCCCTTGGGATCCAAGCGTCACAGAATGAGACAGGGCGGAAGAGGAAAACGTACCAAATAGACTAAAGAGCAAAAGGTCTATGGACGGAACTGTGTCTTGCACTGTCCATACATAAACCTTGCCTTCACTTCCCTTTCCAGGGCTGGTCTTTGGAAAAGGTTCGCAATTTGGGTCTAGATATTCGCTTCTCCTGTTGACATATTTCCCACAGGGCCCCAAGCTCTGCCTGCTATCTAGATATTCTCTTCTTCCATTCCCTTTTGGTGGTACTGTGGCCCCGTCAAGTGTCTACATGGAATACCTTTCAGTCAGTTTTTTCCCTCTTGCCATTACGATTCCCCTTCTTTGGCTTGTACCAAACGCACAAAACTTAGAGAAAAAATAAATCACCAGCAACGGCGACAAAAATTATTATAGTCAATAATTTATCTATTCATGCAAAACAGTCTTGTGTGAAATTTTGCCTTGAGAGTCTAACGCGGTTGAAATCCAGGCCACAATCTAGCATTGAATAACCCCTCACCTGATACCCAAGTTGAATTATACCCCAGAGCTCTTGGAACTGTGAAATTGTGCAGATCTATCAAATGGATGCCTGTCAATTTGCCATGCGTGTTGTGAATAAGTCGTGTTGGGAAGCGGTGGTGTAGCTACCGCCCCAACTGACATTTCTGCCCGTTGGGATCCATGAACTCGTTTGGTTGCCGAGCATAACAACACATGATACTAACACCTCATATTCTCTCGTGGAAAGACCTTCACATCACGGAGGACATCACACTGATTGCAACAGAATTGAATGGTACTTTACTGCATGTCGGAAATAATTTCAATATAAAATCGGGCAGCTCGTTTCTTTGAGCCGCAGGTATCCAGGTATAAAGTACGTAGCAAAGATGATAGAAATCCAAGCAACTGTGGGAAAACAGTATATCCCAACATAAAAGTCGAAAATCACCAACCCCACCCAACCGGCCAACCAACCAACCAACATCAGTCCGCTTTCTTTCAATTCTACAGATTTCCCAAGAATGTGCGCCAATACACCGGGGCTACGATTTCATCAAGAACCCATCATCATTATTACTTGCGTTTCCCCCCATTAATTTTATGCTGCGGCCGGTGGTGCATTGGGGTTGGTCACAGTTCCATCGGCGTGCTTGGCCCGCGCCTCGACATTAGCAATGGCGCTTTGCAGGGCACTGGTCAGATCAATGTGGAACAGCGGCCGGTTGAGACCGTGGACGGCAACTCTCCGCCTGGTGTTCTGGTGCGTAACGGGGTTGTGGCCCTTGTCGATGCTGGCGCTGGCGCTGCTCGAGCTCGCGGCGCCACGCTCGATGGCGTCGAGATCGTTGCGCTGAGCTTCGGAGCTGCTGGCACGGAAGTTGGCCTCCTTCTCATTGGCTTCGTGCTCAGCGGCCGCGGCGGCCGAGGAGGAGCCACCGATCTCGGCAACGCTGAAAATGGGTTGCCAGCGGTGGTGCAGTCCATCGGGACGCTCGGTTGGGAATCCAAAGCCGGCGGAGACGAGCGCACGCTTGGTCCAGCGGTTCGAAATGCAGGCAACGTGCCAGTCGACGACGTCGGGGGCCGTGTAGCGGTCGAGCTGATTGCGGATGTCAATCAAATGCTGTACCGATGTAACATCCACATTGGTAACAGAGCTGAAATCGAGAATGATTGCCTTGAGAGTCGGCAGGTTGGGGTCTTCGTGTTGACCTTTCTTGGCTATTTCAAAGTAATATTAGCTATTGCTCTAGATGATTGTGAGAACATTGACAATATATAACTTACGACCAGGGTCGTTCCAGGGACGGTCACCCTTTCGTGGGTATGAGTCCATCTGTGTACGACGGGTATTCTTGAAGACGTAAGTGGTCAAGTAGTCGAGAGTACTGGTGGCGTTGGGGTAGTTGAAGCCCTCGGAGAAGCGGTAGATGAAGATACCAGGATACGGGCTAGCAATTTCGACTTGGGAGTTGGATCCATCTTCGTGCTGAATGGGCAGGAAAGCGTTTCTTGTGGCTGGGGAATCCCCGGCACCGTTGAAAGTACCGTACTCGCCAACGACACTGTTGTTTCCACCAATAACGTGATCGCCAAGGACTGAGTGAACCTGAACGCGACCAAGGAATCGCCCGTGATCGACCAAGAGACGGAACACGTAGATTGCAAAAGAGATGGCAATGGTACAGTAGATACCATTCTCGATGGACGAGAAGATCGTGACAAATACACCAATGAAGAAGATGAGAACCTCTACGGGCGATACGCGCCAGAACTTGTACAGCGTCTGAGGCGGTGTGATCAGATCACCGACAGCATGAATGATGACGGCAGATAGAGACGCGCTCGGGATGTAGAAGAAGACTGCCGGAAGGGCGTAAATGGCAAGGAGCACGACGACAGCGGTGATAACACCAGCCAAGGGCGTGCGGACACCAGCCTTTGACTTGATGGCAGTTCGACTGAAAGATCCGGTAGAAGGATAGCCACCCAAGAAAGGAGCAAGGAGGTTGGTGACACCAATGGCAACCATCTCTTGGGATGGGTTGATGACGTAGTTGTTGACTCTGCCGAAGGACTTGGAGATGGCAACGTGCTCAATCAAGAGAACAATGACAGAAGCAGGCAAGTCGCTGACAAAGGACTCGATAATCCTGGTGTTGACAATCGGTACCGAGGCGTGAGTGAAACCACGAGGTACATCCGACAGAATGGAGAACTTGGGTTTCTCGCGGTGGTGCATGTTAACGAGCCAGCTGATCATGGTGTACAAGAGGATGACGAAAGCCGTTCGCAGGGTAGAGAGGAAGAAGAAGAGCTTCTGCTTTTGGGGGTATCTCTTGGCCGCTTGGTTACAGCCGAAGCGGATCAAGTACAACATAGTCAGAGCTGTGAGACCCATTGCGGCGTCGAGCTTGGCAGTCGGCAAGAACCTAAAGATATTGATGATGACCAAGTATGTCGAGTCTCGCGTCGAGTATCCAGTGCCAAATTTCTCCCCCAGCATAGTCGGCACTTGACCCGCTGCAATGTTGATGGCGGAGCCAGTCATGAAGGCAGCCAGCGACACGAGCGGGATGAGCTCGACGATGCGTCCAAGGCGAATGATGCCAATGAAGAAGACAATCGCGCCGGCAATGATAGCCAGAGCACTGGCAATGACCCACGGCTGGTCCTCATATTCGGGCAGGGCTGCGATACTCTTGGTGACGACGTTTCCGGTGACGGTGGACATGACTGCGACAGGGCCGATGGTAATATCCTTTGATGTGGCAAAGAACCAATAGATCAAGACACCCATGAAAGACGAGTAGAGACCGTACTGAACAGGCAAGTTGGCGAGCTTAGCGTACGCCATTCCCTGTGGAACGACGACAGCACCGATTGTGATACCAGCAACGAGATCTCCAATCAGCCACTGCAGGTTGTAGAAGCCTATCCAATCCAAGAACGGGAAGAGAGATCTGAAGTAGTGGGCAATATCTTTGCCAGAAGGCGTTATCTCGGAAAGCCATTCTGCTGTAGTGGGCTCCTCTTCGATAAAGGAGTCGGCAGTGTGGTTGGAGAAGACAGATTCTCCTCTGGTGACATCGTCTTTAGTCTCCAGCTTGATGCCGAGAAACTTGGCCAGTTTGTGGCCAGTCTCTGTTCTTGACGGCATCGTGAGGTCTGACACGATTCGAAGTCCCGACCAAGGGAGGCTGAAGAAGGAGAAAGCGTGGTAGGACGATGAAGTGCTCGAGAAAAAGGGTCTCCTTCGAAGGTAGGATCGGCCTCTGTTTATGGTAAAAACCCTTGTCACCTAGGACCCGAAAATACCTGGGTATAGTTCTGGGGACGGCTGTCTAGGACCAGGATCTGGATCCGTTTTCGCAATAGGCAGTTCAGTCGACCCAGGGGGGTGGTTGATATGCGGTGCGCCTGCAAGCTGATGGCTGCAGGATAGGTCGAGAATGAGGATTATTGAAAAGCCACGGGATGGAACTATGCAGTTCTAGCCATCGAGCCCAGAAACAGAGATCTAGATCTAGATGATTAGTCTTGTCTGGAACAAGCTTCTCTCAGCTTTGCTTCGCTTTTCCAGTGCTGAGCTCGCCGAATCAAGACTGAGCTGACAGTAGAGCCAATGAAGGAAGCAAAGATGGGGGACCCGGATCGCCACGCTATGGAGGAATCCCAAGACGCAATCGCACGTGAGAAGGCGCCGAGAAGCTTGTATAAACGCCTCACACAAGACCGGGGGGCCTTCAGTCGCGTCAGCGTCCTCGGTGCTGGGCACGAAGCAAGAGGACCCGACTCGGCGGGAGTTAATGAGTAACGAATATAGAGCCGGGCTTGGCGTGACTGTGGCTCGGATATGAGACTTCCACTCTGGGACGATTATGCAACCGACTCAAGTGTGGTTTTGTTTGAATTCGCTTGGGGGATTCTTGTCAAGTATAAAATGGCGACAAGCGGTACCAGGAGGAGTACCGTTGATGAGCAAGAGCAGGTAGAAGCAAGCAGCTGCTTTCATCCAGACGGCGATGTGTGTAAAGGGTCAAGTCGGGCGTTGGTCACGCTCGTTCAGGGGTCTCTCTTTGGTGCAGCACCGTGAATTAAGTTCAGAAGTGCGTCTCAATGAAGAAGAAGGACAGCCAGGTATC